AAATTAAAACGAAAGGAGAGACGGAGAGTGGAAATGACAATAACAAAGAAAATATGCAGATTGACTGTAGTTCAAGACGGACGCTGTACATAAGAAATAAGAAAATACGTATGGCTAAATGACACTATGAAGGATGAGTGGAAGAAAGGATAAGAGAGAGAGAAGGAGGGAAGGGGAGGAGGAGAGGGAGGGAGGGAGGAGGAGGAGTGAAAAGAAAGGATAGGAGGGAGAGGGAGGGAACAGGAGCAGGAGGAGAGGGAGGGAGGGAGGAAGGGACGGACGGAGGAGGAGGAGAGGGAAGGAGGGAGGGAGGGACGAAGGAGTAGGAGGAGGAGGAGAGGGAAGGAGGGAGAGAGGGAGGGAGGAAGAGAGGTAGGCAGGGATGACAAAGAGAGAGAGAGAGACAGATAGACAAACATACAGAGAATGTGAGGGAGAGTGAGAGAGAGAGAGAGTGATTAAGGGAACGAAAGAGGGAGAAAGAGAGAGTGGGGAATGGAAGGAAAAGACGAGTAGATAAACAAGTATCATTTTCATTATCGTCATCATCAGAAGTATTAAGATCATTATCATTATTGATTTTATTATTATTATCATTATCATTACCGTTATCAATACCATTGTTATTTTTATTATTATTATCATTATTATTATTATTATTATTATTATTATTATTATCATTATCATTATTATTATTAATATTATAACAATAATAGACGCAGTAGCACTTGTAGTCGAAGCAGTGTCAACATCGCCATTTGATGAGCGACACACCAGTAAAAAAGAAGAAAGTGACGCAATCGACTCTCACGAAACAGCTGATCGTCGGCATCGTCAGCTGATCGCTCGGATCCTCTTGCTCGGATCAGCCTGTGTTTCCTGTGGCGTTCGAGTCCCACGTATCCGATGTGTCCGATGTATAAGGGAGGGAGGGAGGGAGGGAGGGAGAGAGGGAGGGAGGGAGGGAGGGAGGGCGAGGGAGAATAAAAGCTGTCCCGCATTGATCACAACCAGGAAATTTGGAATTATCAAAGGGCTTGTAAATGGCGGTGTTGAAAAAAAAGAAGAAAAAAAAAATGGATGTTGCACCAGCGGGAAATGGATTCAGCGAAAGCGTCGATGAAATTATTCTTTCCCATGATATCCATCCATGCGTTGTCCGTCCATTCAGCATCCACGCATACATCCATCCATTTTTTCCATCCATTCATCCACCCATCCACCTTTCCATTAATCCACCCTTAATTCCACCTTTCCACACACCCACATACCCAACCACCCATCCATCCACTCGCCTTTCCATCCACACAAACAAACACACACACAACATACATGCACTCACGCACACACACACACACACACACACACACACACACACACACACACACACACACACACACACACACACACACACACACACACACACACATATACACACCTCCATCCATCCATCCACCCGCACGAACAAACAAACATACAAACAAACACACACCATCAAACAAACAAACAAACAGAAGAAGAAAGGGGATAAAGAGAGGTGAAGGAGGGAGGGGGAGGAGGAGGAGGGAGGGGGAGGGGGAGGGGAGGGGGGGGGGGAGGGGGGAGGGGGCATGTCAGTCCATGAGGGAGATTTCGCATTAAAACGCGGACTCCTTCGGGACGTCTTAATCGCTCTCTTCCTCTTCCCGTGTCGCTTGCTCTTGTGATCTTTGCTCTTTCACCTTTCGCCTCCTCTTCCTTTCGTTCTTGTTGAGGAGAGATTTACTATCCCCACTTTTTTTTTTCTTTCTTCTTTTTTTTTCTGTGATTTTCTTTCTTTTGTGTCTCTCTGTCTCTATTTGTTTGTCTGTCTGATTCTCTCTCTCTCTCTCTCTCTCTCTCTCTCTCTTCTCTCTCTCTCTCTCTCTCTCTCTCTCTCTCTCTCTCTCTCTCTCTCTTTTCCAACTCCTCTTTCTTCATTTTTTGTTTCGTTTCTTCCTTCCCCTTCCTTTTACCCTCCTCCTCTTCTATCTCTTCCCCTTCCTTCCTCCTCCTTTACCTCCCCTCCTTCTCCCTCTCCTCCTAATACTACTTCTGATTTTGCTAACAATAATTACATTACTCCTCTTGCTACTGCTACTACTACTTCTACTTCTACTTCTACTACTACTACTACTACTACTACTACTACTACTACTACCTCTACTACCACTATCACCACCACCACGACTATTACTGCTACTACTGCTACTACTACCACCACCACTACTACTAATCCTCCTCCTTCTCCTCCTCCTACGCCTCCGCCTCCTCCTCCTCCTCCTCCTCCTCCTCCTCCTCTACCACCCTTCTGTCCCTCCTCCTCTACCCCCTTCTTCTACCCACCAACACCATTACCCCCTCCCCCTTCCCTATCCCCTCTCCTCATCCCCCCTCCCCTTCCCCCTTTCCCATTAACCCATCCCACTCCTCTCTTCCCCCTTCCTCCTCGCCTTACCCCCTTCCCCTTCCCCATTCCCCG